CCCACTTGGTAGTTGGCACTTCACTTCACTCGCTGCCTTTTTGGGCCGTGCCCATTTGGCCTCCTTCGTCCTTGCTCAATCGATCGCACGCCACGCACGCTGCCTTTTTCTTTCTGCTCGCGAGAGGGACGGGTCCGATGGCTACCCCCAATTCCATCTGTTTTGTTTTTTAATTAACGAACAATTCCATCGGTTGTTCTTTTTAATAACGAACAATTCCATCGGTTTCGGCGGAAATTCTGCCTGCTGATTGGAATATAGATTGCCGAGTTTTGAAGCTGGGTGATGGGGCTCCTGCTCCTCCGTGTGTGATCGCGCTGCCGTTGTTGCAAGAGCACTGGATGTAGCAGCGACCGGCAACGTCTGGGCAAGTGCACGTGTCACTGTCGCAGCTCCAGCTAGTCTTTAGTCAACGGGACCGAAACGATAGTCTGACCGAATACTCGCTCGTGTCATTTTTTTTAGCACGTTTCTCCTCTCAGATAGGCTAACAGAGATACTCTCTGTGGAACAAACCTGGTTCCAGTGCACATATCAGATGGTGATTGGTACTACCTATCTATCAGGTGGAGGCTTATATCACACTACCTATCTATCAGTTACTCCCACTACTGCCTTGCAGCAGGGCCACGCTAACAAATCCCGTTGGAGAACGCATGTGTCATCCGAACACAAGGTTTACCGACGTGGCCTCCGTCACACACGCGTATGCGACGCAAGTACGCAACTCCGGCAAGGTAAGGCCGGCCACACCACATCGGTCAGTGGAGTGAGAGCGGAGGCAATGCTGGTCAGCCCAATGCTCCCGGCCGGCACACGGCGCTGTCAGTGGTCACCTCCGTCCCTCTCGGTCCACGGCGCGGCCGTGCGTTTCTTCTCTTACCACCCCAGAGAACCAACCACCTCCGCTGCCTTTTCTGCCTGCCTGTGCCTCAGTGCCTGCCACCATCGCTCCGAGTCGGAGTCGCTCTACAGCTACAGGGGATAAAAACGCTTGCTTCCACGTTTGCGTTGCGGACTTGCGGTACTATGTTGAAACAGTCAGCGTTGCTCTGCTTTTCAACCTGTTCGCTGGTCGTTGCTGGCGCTGGTTTAGGCTGATTTTCTATGAGAGGAAAACACTGTTGACTGGTTGAATAAGTCTGGCTGAAACCAACAAGCGAACATGATGTTTGTGTGGCCGAAGTTGCTATCGCACTCGCGCCGTGTTTAGTTCCAGGATGTTAGAATTTGGGGTTACTGTAGCATGTCCGTTTTTATTTGGTAATTAGTGTTCAAATATGGACTAATTAGGCTCAAAACGTTCGTCTCGTAATTTCCCACCAAACTATGCAATTAGTTTTTTTCGTCTACATTTAATGCTCCATGTACAGGTCGTAAATATTCGATGTGACAGATACTGTAGCACTTTTTGAGATTTTGGGCTGAACCCGCGCTCGGACGAGACACGAGAGAGGTCCCCGGCCGGCGGCCGCTTGCTTTGTCCAATGTCATGGAGAATTTTCTCCTCTTCGCCTCTCAGGCCCTGTTTAGTTCCACTTCGTTTTGCTAAATTTTTCAAGATTTTTTGTCACATCGAATCTTTAGACGTATACATGAAGCATTAAATATAAATAAAAAATAAAACTAATTACACAGTTTAGACGAAATCCACGAGACGAATCTTTTAAGCCTAATTAGACTATGATTGGACACTAATTACCAAATAACAACGAAAATACTATAATGCTCATTTTGCAAAAAAAATTTGCATCTAAACTGGGCCTCAGTGTCCGCGGCGCCTGTCGACGTTCAAAACAACCTACTGACTCGAGTTTGAGTGAGAAATAAGTACTGACGCGGAGCCAAGTAACCGCGCCGTAATAATTCTGCATTTCTGTTGGTGAATACGACTGGCATGAACAAGCAGGCCGCGCCGGCACCGCAAGACCGGGGGAAGAAAACAAGCTTCCTCAGGCCGCGAATCGTGCAAGCCGGAGCCATTCACATTTCACAATCACACCCAATCAGAAAAGATCTCTTCTTAAAAAAAATTAAGGAAAAAAAAAGAGAAGGAAAAACGAAAATCCTATCCTATAAAGGATATATAGGAGTAATCATGTACTATGTCATCGGTCAGCACGATGTCATTGACCCGACGAGAGAGAGAGCGCAGAGGCGGATGGATGCCTCAAGCTTTCTCTTCTTGGTAGGTTGCTGTCACTAGGCCCCGAGGCACTACTAGCTGAAAGCCGAAAGAAGGAATCCTCGGCGGGCGGCAGGAGAACCACCGTTGATCGGCCCCCAACCCGTCCCCAGAGCAAGCAAAAGCAAGCTAGCAACAACAAGGAGAAGCGACCGGGCAAGGGGGCAGGGCAGGCCGCGGCCGGCCACCTCGCCCGTCGCTGTCCGACCCGCATCAGCAACTCGCCGAGTTGCAGGGCACAAGAGGGCTGCTCCATCCATGAGGCAACATGCTCGTGCTCATCAACAGATATTTCAGGAGCCGGAACAACAACAACAACCCGGCGGGAGGAGGCGCCGGCGACGAGATGGCGCCGGCGGCGGCCTCCAACGTGCCTGCGGACCTTGACCGCATGTGCCTGCCGGGCTGCATGCCCGTGCGCGCCAAGCGGGCAACGGCGGCGGCGGCAGCCACGGTCACCACCACGGCGAGGGCGTCGCGGCACAACTTCGTCAAGGCCGCGGCGTCGGGCCTGCTGGCGGGGGCGAGCTTCACCAACCACGAGTCGCTGCCGCCGCTGCCGGACGCCTACGCCGAGTTCGCCGCGGCGTTCCCGCAGTACGCCCAGGGCGGCGCGCGGGCCGACGCCATCCGGGGCGAGGAGTACCAGCACCTGGACCGCCACGTGTGCCTCGACTACACCGGCATCAACCTCTTCTCGCACGCCCAGATGAACTTCTCCCTGCCGTCCACCTCCTCCGCCGCACCGCCGTCCTCGTCCGCGTGGCAGCCGCCCTTCTTCGACATCGCGTACAAGTCCACGAGCCTGCGCACGCAGGTGCAGCAATGCGGGGACGCCGCCGCAGCGGCGAAGACGGCGGGCGGCATCGGCGCCGCCGTCACCAGGCGCATCATGGCGTCGCTCAAGATCCCCGACGACGAGTACGCCATGGTGTGCACCGCCAACAGGACCACCGCGTTCCGCCTCCTCGCAGAGTCCTACTCGTTCCAGCCCGGGAAGCAGCTGCTCCCCGTGTACGACTACGAGAGCGAGGCCGTGGCCGCCATGGCCGACAGCGCGCGCCGCCGGGGCGCGGAGGTCACCTCCGCAAGCTTCGCCTGGCCGAGCATGAGGATCCACGGCACCGACCTCCGCAAGAGGCTGGCCAGGGGTCGCCGCCGCGGCGGCGGCCGCGGGCTCTTCGTCTTCCCGCTCGCCTCCCGCATGACGGGCGCCCGGTACCCGTACCTGTGGATGAGCGCGGCGCACGAGCAAGGGTGGCACGTCGCGCTCGACGCCTGCGCGCTCGGCACCAAGGACCTCGACACGTTCGGGCTCTCCCTCATCCGCCCGGACTTCATCGTCTGCAACTTCTTCAAGGTGTTCGGCGAGAACCCCTCCGGCTTCGCGGGGCTCTTTGTCAAAAAGTCCAGCCTCGCCGCGCTCGAGCGCTCCGTCATCGCGCGCAGCATCGGCATCGTCAGCATCGTGCCCGCCCGCCGCTGGTCGCTGCATGACGGCTACTCCACCGAGCTGGAGCACTCGCGGAGCTTCCCCAAGCTCGCCGACCCGGCGGCCCTGGACGACGTCGACGTCGAGACCACCAGCTCCTTCTCCGGCCCGCTCAGCTCCACCGCCATCACTCGCAGCAGGACCCTGCAGTCTGACGCGGCGGAGAACGGCGACGCCCATGCCCCGGAGATCCGCGAGGTCGACGACAGCACGGCAGAGAACGGCTTCTACTCGGAGGAACCCAGAGCAGAGAACGGACACGAAACAGAGGAGCAGCTGGCCAAGGAGGAGGAACACGGGAGCGTGATGGAGGTGGAGTGCCGGGGACTGGACCACGCGGACGCGCTGGGGCTCATCGCCATCGGCAACCGGCTGCGGTGCATCAGCAACTGGCTGGTGGTGGCCCTGCAGAAGCTGCGGCACCCGCGCGCTGACAACGGCCACCAGCTGGTGAAGCTGTACGGCCCGCGCGTCAAGTTCGACCGGGGCCCGTCGCTGGCGTTCAACGTGTTCGACTGGAAGGGCGAGCGGGTGTCGCCGCTGCTGGTGCAGAAGCTCGCCGACCGCCATAACATCTCCCTCACCTGCGGCTTCCTGTGCAACATCTGGTTCTCAGACAAGTACGAGGCCGAGAGGAGCGTCGTCCTGGAGCACAGGATCGGCGGCGATTCCGTCGCTGTGGGCGCCGGAGGGAAGAAGAGGAAGGACGCCGGCGGCGACGTGGGGATCCTCGTGGTGAATGCGTCTCTGGGGTTCCTGAGCAACTTCGAGGACGCGTACAGGCTGTGGGCGTTTGTGGCCAAGTTCTTGGACGCCGACTTCGTGGAGAAGGAGAGGTGGAGGTACACCGCGCTCAACCAGAAGACGGTCGAGGTGTAAACGACTAAGAGGAGAGGAGAGCACTGCAGAATTGCACCCGGTAGCTTCAGCTCAGCTTGGCATATTGGTACGGTTCAGTTCATCACTGTAAAGCAGCATTCTTTTGGGATCAGCTTGGCCATCCCTTCCAGCCATTCTTTCAGTGTAAACTGTCAGGTGTAAAGTGTAGGTCTTGTTTCCGTAATAATGATATCATTTGGTATATGAAACAATGAGTTTGTGTCAAGCACAATCACTAATGATAGAATCATAGCACAACCAAAGAGAAAACAAGGGTACAAAGTTCCTGTTTTCAGCACAAATATAAAGTTCAGTGTTTAGGGTGAACAGATTTGCAGGATGGCTAACCTGAGGATTCTAAACATAAATACACAAAACAGAACAAACAATGATGGTTAATAGTGCAGTTATCTAGTAACATTATTTTGCTATATTTCCTCGCCGCTATTGGCCATTTGCTACGACATTGCTAACCTTGGTTTTATGCCAATCAATGTCATCAGATGCTTTCTTGTCATAGAACCTCCTATACATGGAATCAACTTTTGTAAGGTAGAATGCACCAGGTGGCAACAGGCTTGTGTCGTGGCTTGTCTCGAAATCTTTTGCTCCGTAACGGTGCTCCATCAGCTTCAACGTCTCAACAAACTTCTCAGGTGACGTCTAGTTACAAACAACAGATCAAATTAGACTGCAAGCAAGGGTACTTCTCAGGTGATGGAATCAACTTTGGGGAGAAGTTTGGCAATAAAGTTCATTCCCATCACTGCATTCAAGAGATATGATGTGCCACACCAAGGGTGATGCAATGAGCATCACTGCATCTGCCTGTACTAGTTTTTTGAAATTCCTGTTGAGGCTGCATACCACACTTGACACTTTACAGTTATTATTCTATTTTCTGCGATTTTTATGTAGTTCATAAGGAAACTATTAAGCATTCTATGTTTCCCAATTTCTTTTGATAATGGTATACTATATAACATGAGGGACCAGTAATAATCCCCAAAGTTCTACTGGGCATGCGCTCACCCAGGCACACATAAATAAATACCTGCAGAGTATTAAATTAAATCCCCAAACACCTAAATACTTGGCCAGTTCCGGTCAGCAATTATCTGGAATCTAATATAACATGCCAAAGGGAACCACTATTGGAAATGAATTCACCTCGTGTGTCTTAAAAGGGTACTGTGCGCTCTGATAGTTTGCTGCATGATCATACTATAACAAGTTCCCTATCCCATCCTATCAACAAGACTACAGTAGCAAACTGACCGAGAAAGAACTAAGGAATGGAAGACCATACCACATGTCTTGAGTCGAGCTTTGCTGTTACATCAAGCATGGAAGCAATGTTTCCTAGGCTGAAGGGATGTTGTCCCTCATGCAATCTTAATGAGAACAATGTCGATGTCAAGCCACTGCCGTATGAGAACATAATGATTCGTTGGCCAGCCTGTATAAGAAGCAAAAATTAGCTGTGCAGGATGAAGATACATAAGTGCATGGAATAAAGAGACAAAACTCACTAGACTGTTGTGCTTGTTGTAGATTACAGATGCCAGTGCTGCATACAGAGATGCAGTATACATGTTACCGATTTGTTTTGGAAGCAAAGTTGATGGTTGAACTTTGATGTCATACAAATGCTTTGCAACTTGTTGAGAAGCCTGAAAGTGCATAGGATCAGCTTAGTGCTTACATCAATTAAGCTTTAAGAATTATCCACCAAATAAGAAAGAACCTTTTCCAAGTCACGGCTTTGGTAACTTTCTTCACTAGTCAGATTTGCAAAAGGTAGAAGCTTCTCTTTAGCATCATTATCAACTGAGCTAGTGTTGAAGAAAGAAAAGAAAATCGATAAGAAGCTTTGCCTGGGGACCAAAAGCGTTGAATAAAGAAAGGGTAACTTGTACCTCCCAAAAGGGAGGTCTTAGAGAACTTCAGAACATTATTTGGTTGACATACCAAAAGGATAAGTATTAATAAGTAGGAAAACGAATGCAATTTAAGCGTAAATAAAACAAAATACACCTGCAATTGCGCATGAAATCATTAAAGAAGAGTCGAGCGAAACTCTTCTGCACAAGCTGCAATAATAAATGGAAGTGTTAGCATTCCACATAAATTGGGTGAATGGATGGGAAGAATTAATCAGCTGCTAAAAATTATTAGTATTTGAGCAAGCGTGAAGTCACAATACCTTATTATATGGAGAATGGAACACGCAGTAATCTGCATCAGATATTGAGAACTGTTCTCCGACTAGCTTTTCATACCTAATGTCACTCACCATGCATGAATAGGATGTTACTCAAGACCAATACAATAGTAATCGCAGCAAGCTTACTTGGTACAAAACTGTCTATAACATGAATCTAGAGCCATCAAGTAGCATGTTTGAGATAACTTTCCATCAACAACCTACATAATATAAGTCCAGGAAATAAGCAATGGCACAGAAAATATGATAGATAGCCTGAGAAAGGAATAACAAAAAGTATCACTGTGATTTAGAGAAGTCCCTGTTAGCATGCCAAAGTAATTATAGTCATAGATATGAGAGTGGACATGGCTGAATCCTACCGGGTATTCACTTGCAAGATCTGGCTTGTAGAAATCATAAACATGGGCCATGTGGGAAGCTTTATATTTTCTTTCAAAAGATATAGGAGCATCTGGACCAATAAGCATTGCAATAGCAGCAGCACCCCCTGTAGGACGAGCAGGTCCTTCCGCATAAACCTGAAAAGAAAAATTGCATAAGGTAGTCTAGTGCTAAATGTTGCACAGAGACAAAAGGGATAGACTAAACAACTAGGTTCCAAAACTAGGTGATTTGAGGTGACAAACCGCGCTATCTGTGCAAACGACAAGGCCATAGCGTCCATCCCATGATTTACTCTCAACCCAATTCACACAGTTCAACAGGGCAGCTGTTCCACCATAGCATGCATTGCTCGAGTCAACTCCTTCAATGTCAGTATTGCCACTTTCCTGTGTTTGTATTTCATAGCAAACGTTGACAATGACAGATTATTAGGTGAAACTGAAGTGGGGCTAGCAAAATGATGAAAATGCCACATTGCAACTTTGGGTTAGGTGGAGAGCTCCGCCCCCTCTTTTTTGTTTTGTAATTTGCAGAGTTTGTGTCTCAAGGGACAAACCTCGAAAATTTGCATCAGCCATGTTTTGATGGACTTGCTTTTGTCTATCACCGTCTCACTACCAACCTCCAAGCGTCCAATTAGCTTAGGATCAACGTTGTACTTTCGCAGAAGGGATGCAACAACTGTCAAGCTGAGAGAATTCCTCGTCATGAACATTTGCAATTAAAGTAGATCGTTACATGAAACACATTCATCTTCACTGCAATTGCTTGCTAGTTTATACTCTTTGGTTTAGGAGGTCTAATTCCAAAGATAGAAGGGAACTAACAGTTATGAACATACCTCATGGAAACTACGTCTTCCACCTCGCTGCAGAATGCCATGCAATCCTGCCCAAGCCCAATTGTGTACTTCCCCTTGCTGGCACCGTCATGAGCCTCCAGCGCTTCCTGCAGTCAATCAATGACTAAATGCATCAGGAGCCTACAACCATGACGCATAAACCAACCCATCTTATCCCCTTACAAGTTACGACGCCAAATCGAATTCAGTCCTGAACATCAGGCCTCGCCCCATGGGCAACATCTCACATGACAAATGCAGCAGGTGGATCGAACTTGAGGTTGACTCAAGCTTTCTTATAAAAACAGCAGAATCCTCCAAACCCAAAATTTCGCCTGCCAAACCCCCTAAAACCCCTCGCGGCAGTAAACACTCCCCCCAAAACTCACCCGTTCCCAGGGAAACACCAAACACACATCGCCACTGATCTCCAAGTCGGGTGCCCGGAGCCTCACATACGGAGCAGTATCACATCACACGAGACGGGCACGGTGGGGAACGCAACGAATCGGAGCGGGGGGCGAGCGTCTCACCTGCTGGACACAGGTGGGGGGGAAGTAGATGTCCATGGCGAGGATCCCGACGTCCTTGCGCACCTCCATCTCGGCGATCGAGACCCCTCCTCCAGTCCTCCGCTGCCGCCGCGGCGCCTTCGACTGCGTCTGCGTGCGAGGCCGGCTCGACCTCTCGACGCTTCCGGCTCTGAGAGCTCTCACACGCGACGTCGCCTTTGGTGTGTGGGTTTGTGACTGCGAGCGCTCTAGAGCGAGTCGAGATGCCCGTGGACGCGGAGCGGGCGTGGATGGGTCTCAGTTCTCCGGTCTCCACCTGTCCCGCCTCGACTGTCGTGGGCGTGGACACAAGATGGGAGAAATTTTGGTACTTGAGGCAGAAAAAATATACATGAACCCGGCCCGGCGCATTCTCAAAAGACAGGCTTCCGTTCCATAAAACCAGCTTCATCCCTCAACAGTCAACACCCTTTGTGATGGAGCCCTGAAGCAAAGCTACACAGAAACTTGACCATCTTGAGGGCTTATTTGGTTGCTCGATGAGGGTAAACCTGTTAAAGATATAAAATCTCTCTTCCTTTTAAATTCTAAGTTATTTTAACTTTTTTTAGTACGCATTAGATATCTATCGCTATTGCTATTTCATGATAGCACACACGACGACGGAGGGTGAAGCAAAATTTAAGGAGGAGAGAGCGAGGGAGGGGGCAACTGCATAGCTATCCAAACATCTCTTTGCTAAGATGTCATAGAAGAGAATCAACAAAATGATTATATTATATATAGGTCTATAGAGTTCTAGTCCTGGCCAAGAATCATCTGCTATCTTCTGACTAAATTAACTATAAAGTCGTTCAAATCTTTTTAACAATAGGGGACGAAAGGACAGAGTGTCATATACAGTTATGATTATCATTGTTTTTAAATATATTTCTATTCCACCTTTATTGACCTGAGCCATTTGGCCTATGGAGTGACATGAGCCATTACATATATTGTTCTTTTTGTTATTCACAGATATATGCTTCGTAAATAGGTTCATACTATCTTTCTAAACCCACGTGCTCCTGCAGATACTTATGCCACTAGCTAAGTTCACAAAATTTTTATTTTTTAGCCTTTTTTTTTAAAAAAGTTCACAAATATGCCCCTGGAGTTAAGATTTCAAAATCTGTACCCTTAGCTCGGTGACATCGTTGCTGGCGCCGAGCTTACACTGCTCGGCGCCATCGTTGTTGGCACCAAGATCTTGGGCTCGACGCAGACGTGGCGGTGACGTGGCATGCAGCTCGACGCCATAGATCCTGGTGCCGTAGATCCTGACGCCGAGCTTGGCGCCATGATCTCCAAAGGTTTTATTCCTCGTCGAGCCTCTCGCGTCCTGTCGGTCGCCATGCCTGGATGTCCTCTTCGCATGCGCTCCCTCTCACCACGCGTCCGGTCCTACGTAGGCGCTCGGTGCTCGCACGGACATCGAGGCGCTCGAACGCTGCCACGTCGCGCGGCTAGTACCATGCACTTTCACCGAGCTCGTTGTGCATGACTGCTAGTGCAGGCAAACTGCATGCTTGAAGGGCGTGTTTGGATAACGCCCTAGCCTGGTATTGCCTGCCAAGCAAGCGATCGTGGCCCCAGGCGATCGAAATCCAACGCCTAGGGTGGCTGCCTAGCGACGGAGCTGCCTGGGGGGGCAGAATCCAAACAAGCCTGAAATCCAGGGGGAGGGGAGCGCCGCATGGTGGCTGCCGCGGTTTTGTGTTTTTGAAATCCTAGTGCCGTCATCATGTTCTGCTGCCTGCCTGCACTGGCATTGGGCCACATGCAAAGGGGAGCCCTTCTTTCTTCCTGACGCTGCGTGCATATGCATCGTGCATATGTGGTTTCCTTGAACGCCATCGAAATTATATTATTCTCCTTAAGCAAAAATGAGTTTCATCACGTGGCTACTTAATTCACAATTGGTGACGAGCGCGCTAGGGGTACATTATTCACAATTTATGCTATCTGCTCTGTTCGTTTGGCTGATAAGTCATGGCTGAAAGTACTGTTGACTGATTTATTATGAGAGAAAAATATTATTCATTAGCTGAAAAAGTACGACTTATAAACAAAGCGAACAAGGCGCGATCGTATTGAATGATGGCGATAGGTCCTGACTTGTTTGCTGAGAATTAGCGGCAGTGCCACAGAAGGAGATTTAAAAAAATGTTCTGAATAAATTGTAACAAAGGAATACTGTATTTTATTTTTTTAATGGCACTTAAGGGCCGGATAGCTATAGGCTTTGAACGTACGTTATTCAAGCGATTTTGTCTTCAAGATCGAGTCAGCGGGAGCGGCCGTTTGATAACTCTCCAGATAGGTAGCTCCACGTACGCGTGCACTACGTCCAACTCGCAACAACCTACAGCACACAGAATTTTCTTAAAAAAATCCTACAGCGCACGGAACGTTAAGAAGCGCACGGTGTATCGATCGACGTACGTGTCGTCACGTAAGGACTCTCTCTATATATAGGATAGGAAATACATACACAACTACAGTCGTGCAGAGGGATGCTTCCGTGATTTTAAAAATCGATCGAGGAGAACCGTCGAGAACAATGCAAGTTGCGCTTGTGCAATTACCAAATGTTCATTGCGTTGTGCGTTGGTTTGCTAGCTAGATGTACGAACGCGTCGCGCGCGCGCGTGTATATATATATACACACACCGTATTCACTAAGAACTCGAACGGATTCGAAATTTAAATTCTGAGATCTTGAATTACTATTCATAGTACTATTCAAATTCAAATTCACTATTTAAATTCACGGTTACTATTCAAATTCGGAATATGAACAGTGCACAACCACTTTACTATTTAAGGCTGGAGGCCTCTGCAAGTGTCGCTTTCACGAGCGAATATTTTATGGACTCTGGATAAGTGAGCGGGTGATTAGCGAATATAAATATTGATATGTCGCTTTCGCGATTAGTTAAGCTAGTGCTTAGTGAATATGTTTATGCGGATGATTATTTCTAAGGATCTTTTGCGTATGCATCTGGCGAGACCGAAGCTAACCCGGTCTACTCCCTTGCTATTCCACCCCAGAACACGCAGGACTCGTGCGACTATCGCTCCTGTGCACAGGGTTCTCTACAAACCGGTCACTGGGCTAACACGAGTGCAGAAGTTTCTCCTCTAGGGTCCCTAGCATAGAGACATCGCCCCATATGAACGAAGCTTGAAGGAAGGCAGGATAAAAGCAGGAAAGCTTAAACCCGGTCTACTCCTTGCTATCTCCTTTCGGAAAACCCCAAGCCACTTAGCACAAACACGAGGGATTACCTTACAAGCGCAGGAAGATCTCGGGGACCTCCTTATTCTCTAATTTACAAAGGTGGAGTGATACAACGGTACGTGGAGTGATTACTACTAATGGTGGATGGAGAGTTGGTGGAGTGGTGAAAGGTCCTAAAATGGCTAGAAGGGGGTGGGAAAACTACAAATCAACTAGAGCAATTTCTTAGTATGACAAATAGCGTAATGCAAACTTGGTTCTCTACAAGCCACCTATCCAACGCTACAATGAATACTAACAAACTAGCTATGTAATTACTCACTAAGAGCTCTCAAACTAAAGACAACTAGATGAATGTAAATAATAAAGCAAGCTCTCAGTTTCTCCTCTAGGGTCCCTAGCATAGATGTAAATCGATTATACCCGTGTAGGGGATATGAACAATCAGGAGAAGCTTGAAGGAAGGCAGGATTAAACGTCCCGTTGTGTCGAAAGCTTAATTCATTTCCCACACGATAGAGCAAGCTTACAACTCGAGCAATTTACTTTACCCTGGGAAGGTACAACTCCCCCACCAAGGTGCCAGAACAATAGCACAAACCCGAGGGATTACCCTTACACAAGCGAAATCCAGGAAGATACCAAGTGCCACTAGATGGACCTCCTTATTCTCTAATTTACAAAGGTGGAGTGATACACAAGCTATGTCAATGAAAATGGAGTGATTACTACTAATGGTGGATGGAGAGTTGGTGGAGTGGGTGGTGGATGATAGTGGGTGTCAGACTCGAGGATTCGGTGGCTCTTCGATGGTGTTGCTATGATGTTGCTTCTTCGATGCTTCGATGTCGTTGAATGAATACGGCGTCGGTCCACAGGGCAAACATCATTTCGACCAACTCCATTTCAACTCTAACTTCTTCACCCTTGCTCCAAGAATTTTGCATCAATAGAAAATAGACATTTATTTTAGCATGAAGGAGGGAGTGTCCTTCCTTCTTATCCTAAATCTATCAATGAAGAGCATCTAGTGGCACTTTGATAAGCGAGCCTTATCTTAATAGTACGGCTATCTATCCTAAATGTGATCACACTCACTAAGTGTCTTGATCACTAAAAAAAAGCATTGAGCCTTTTGTTTTCTCTTTCTTCTTTCCAAGTTCTTCAATTATCTCATGATCTTCGTCATTGCTTCAACACTTGGAGTAGTGCTACCTATCTCATAAACATCTTGATAGACTAGGTTAGCACTTAGGGTTTCATCAATTAACCAAAACCAAACTAGAGCTTTCAAGTGGGTGGTGGATGATAGTGGGTGTCTGAGGATTCGGTGGCTCTTCGATGGTGTTGCTATGATGTTGCTTCTTCGATGCTTCGATGCTGAATGAATACGCCCGGCGTCCTCCTTTATAGCATGAAGGAAGTGTCCTTCCTTCTTATCTTAAGGAAGGGCGAGCCTTTATCGGAAGAAGCAGTCTTCAATTATCTCTTAAATCTTGTTATGCGGACAAATTGGGACGGAGAATAATTTGTCACAGCTCTGATAGAGTATTTGTATATTTCTTTTCTTGTTGTCCTCCAACACGCATGGTCTTATCCTTCTGGATATTTTTTGGTATGGTCTTCCACGCCTCGAATGATTGATGTCGCAAACATCAAATCAAAGATCATGGCATGTAATATGTATATGTATATGTATTGTAATATATATTATCTCTTCTCCCGGCCAAATTGTTGATGACACCTTATCAATATAGGGAGTATATTTCTTGTATATATATATATATATTGATATTGAACTGAGTCT